ACAAATCCAATTAAAAAAACAAACAAAAAAAAACAAAGCTTTTGGCATTGACGACATTTCCACCAACTCAGTATTTCATATCTTTGTATTTGATCCTGTTTAAAAAATCTTTTTTTAAATATTCTATTATTATTTTTAACTCACTAATTAAAACAGAGGTTGTCCAAGTTATTAAATAGAATTAAAAAAATTTTTACCAATATTTAAAGCTGGAGACACATTGTTGCTAAATTAAAGAAGTTGGGTAGAGATTGATGTAATATAAGAAGAATTGAGTCAAATGAATAAAAAGATACGTCTAAGACGTATAAAAAGAAACGTCAAAGGATTAAAATAAAAATACGTCAAAGACGTAACTTTTTATTCTGACCTTAAAGTTAACTTTGAGGTCAGAATAAAAAGATACGTTTTTAAAGTAAACTTTAAGGTCATTTAAAGAACTTTAAATAACCTTAAAGTTAACTTTGAGCTAGAAAAACTGAAAACATTGTCCAGTATGTGTTATTGTCCTCATAATGTGTTAATTAAACGCAAAAAAAAACTTCACATTATATATTTATTTCATTATATATATATATATATATATATATATATATATATATATATATATATATATATATATATATATATATATATATATATATATATATATATATATATATATATATATATATATATATATATATATATATATATATATATATATATATATATATATATATATATATATATGTTTATTTATTTCATGTTTAAACACAAAATGAGATTATTTACTACACGACTTATACAAAGCTTTTTGTGGTTAGCTTTATCAAAAAAAGCTGGTTACTTTATAAAAAAAAATATTCTTAGTTTTTTTTCTCTCATGGACGATCTTATTTATATAACAATTTGATAATCTGTAACTACTTCTCTAGACAATATAGTTTTTTAAAATTATACTCAAAAATCTTGTTCTTAATAAAGATAGTTTACACACAAATGTTCTAGTTTGTTATGATACAAACAAATGTTCTAGTTTGTTATATTACAAACAAATGTTTTAGTTTGTAATGTTACAAACAAATGTTTGCAACACAAATTAAAATAAAATCTTAATTTTATAATTAAACAATTAATAGTCAAATATGAATAAATGTAATCTATAAAATATATTATTTGTAAATATAAACAATATTAAACTTCAAAATTTATCAAGACTCGTCTTAGTCTCCTATATGTTCCCTATGACAACTTAACCTTATTAAATTACTCATTCTTTATTCAAATAATGGTTTATGAATATCCTTTTTTTTTTGTATTTTTACAGTATTTTTCAAATCTACTACTTTTTTAATAAAAGTGTTATTTTTTTATAGCATATTTTATATATATTTATATTTTGTATTTATTATTATGTAAAAAAGTATAACCAATATGTAGTTTTGAAAAAATTACAACAACAATAATAAAAATTCCGTTATTATATAGATTTAGAAGTTCTCCAGTACAAGATATTCATTACCATTCTAACATAGTTTTTTTTAACTCTTAATTTCATTTTTACCAACTGTACAGGTAATGAAAATTTGTTACTGAAGTTTTATTTTAATTTTTCTTGACAATATTGAGACTTATTCTTGTTGAGATAATTATTGCCCACTTAAATTGTCACTCCACTTAATGGATTTCACTATTTTAGACGTTTAATTAAAAAAGTCGTGTTAAACAACAACATTTGTTTTAAAATACCACAGTTTAAAATTGCAGCATGGCTTCAAGACATAATTGCTGTCAATGCAGCATTTGCGCCAACAGTATAACTGTCTCGAATGTTTTGCAATTTAAAGCATCTCTTAATTTTGAGTAAAACCACATTAATTGGATAAAGGTTTTAAAACCATGCTTTGAAACCATGCTTTGAAAATGTTACTTGCTTACAGCAGATGGCTACAAACTAAGCATCTTTGATAATTAGATGATAATGGCTTGCTGAAAAAGTTTCTTGCCTCTGACAACGCAAGTTACTTTAAAGGATGTAAGACAATTAACTTAAGATAAGACTTTTTTTTTTTTTTTTTAATAAAGTAAAAATTAAATATTACTATCTTTATCATAAATAAAACAAGTTTATGTTGGAAGAACTTAAAATACTTCTTTTTGAGTTCAAAATTAATCCAGTGAAAATACTTTCTTTGCTAATGCAAGAGTATGTTTAAATATTCTTCTGCCAGCATTACTAAGTGTGGATATTTGGTATAATGGTTTTGCTAAAACAATAAGCAATCCAGTTCTTCTCTTTTTTTGAATAAAAAATTATTGAAAAACAGCATTATATTGGCTGAAAAACAGCATTATATTATAAAAATTAAAAATTAAATGGCCACCTTTAACTTTACGACTTTGTCGTACTTGAATGGTCACCTTTAACTTTACGACTTTGTTGTAAAGTTAAAGGTGGCCATTCAATTTTCAGTATTTCAATTATAGTATTTCCATAACAAAGTTTTTTAATGTAGTTTTTCTGTAGTTTTTTAATGATTTAATCCATGACGTAATAAAAAGTTTTTTGTTTAAGTAATACTAATCCAAGTTCTATTTAATCTATGACGTAATAAAAACAAATTTTTTAAAACCAACTAATTTAAGTTTAAAAATATTGGTGCAACAAAAAAGTCTGTATGCTTATACAGAATATGCTTATAAGAATGAAATATGAAGTAATCAATACTGCATTAACGTTTGCTTCTTCTTACTTGCAAAGCATGCTAGAAAAAGTAAACGTATGAAGCAGCGGACCAAGAAGAAGTGGGCAAAAAAGAATTGGACGAAGAAGAAGTAAACGAAGAAATGGACGTTAATGAATTTTATGAAGAAGGAGCACTTTGCTACTATTTCTTCTAATATAGAATTTACAGAAGAAAAAAAAATCATAAAAAAAAAAAAATCTGCAAGAAACCTTTTGTTGCTTTTTAGTTTAACAAGAATATTTTAGTTTACTATGCTTTCTTTTTCAGCCAAAAACAGCAAATTTAAGCATCATTCGAACTGAACATATTGCTTAATTAACGGTTTAGTAGTTGTTAAAAAAGATGCAAAGTGGGGGTTGTAAGACAAAAGTAAAAGTTGCAAGTCGTATAGAAGCTGCTGCTTCTATTGGGCCTATTAGAGCTAAAAATACGGCTAAATTCTTGCGACAAATGCACTGACTTTTCTCATAGATAAACAAAATAGACTGACTTGTTTTTTTAACTAGTCAGATAAAAAAACAAGTCAGTTAAATACATATCAGTTTTCTCTTCATTTTTGTTTTGTTAAAAGTTCATGTTATAAACATTAATAATGAATGCTACTGACTATACGTTAAACTTGTATTGCATCTTGCTTAATTTCAGCGGTTAAAGTATCGAAGGTTCGTCATTATATTGCGCAACGCTAAATTTTTCTAATAAACCAAACAAATAAGATTAAAAGTTTTCCCTCACAAAGCCTTAAGTTAAATGTAAAGTAAAAACAGGTCATGAAAATCGCTGCGTAGAAGAGCTAAAGTTCTCCTGTTTTTTTTAATAAAAAGTTAGTGTTACGTAATTTATGGACAATTCCTAAGCAGTAGGGTGTATCGATTTTCATAGCAAAAAAAAAAAAGCTTAAAAATCAATATTCCTGAGACACGAATCAATGTCTATTAATTATAAGATGAAAGTAAAAAAATATTTTGATTTTGATGAGATCTTGATGTTCCTCTTTGGATTCTAAATCCTTGACGGATCCTAATATTTTTGAATTTTTTTTTTTTTTCTAAACTATATCAACCTTGGACTCAAAAAAAGCAGAAAAAACGCTTGTTTTATCAATAATAATTTTATTTAAAAAATAATTATTAAAAAAATATTTGCAAAAATATACCTTAAACCCCCGTTTTGATGAAGACGGGGGTTTTTAATAAAAAAAATAACATTATTATTTTTTTCTCTTTAGTTTTGAATTAAAACAAATATTATATTCAAAATAAGCGTATTATTCAGCTTCTTTTGAGTACCAGGTTGATATAGTTTAGAAGAAAAAAAATTTCAACAATGTTAGGATCCGTCATAAATTTAGAATCCAAAGAGAAACCTCTAAAACTCATTTAAATTAAAAAAAAAAAAAGTAAGGTTCTTATTTCACCAAAAGACATCGATTCGTAGCTCAGGCAAATCAAATTTCAAAAAATTTTAAAATCGATCCACCCTACTAAGCAGTTTTTCTAATAGGCAGTTTTTCTCAGAATTGGAAAAAAATGTTTTCCATAAAGAAATTAATTTAAAAAGTAGATAATCCTTTGAGCGGCGATTTGCATTGAAGTCAAAGTGCTTCTTTACTTTTTAGCTTAATTAAAGAAAACTTGCGATCTGGTTTTGTTTAACTATTGAATTATATGTTGCGTTGTTTATGGATGATCCCAAAGTTTTTCCTTTTAAAAAGTTTATAGTCTACATTTTAGCAAAAGCTTTAATTTGTAGCAGCAAACAGTAAAAACAGTAGGTTAGTTTTTAGGTTACTACAAATTGATACAAGCTTATAGTAAAAACGAAGCACCATCATATCTTTTAAAGATATTAAACAATTTTATATTTAGTTTTTTGCTTTTGTAAATGTAACTCTAAAAAAAATTTGGATAACAACCTTCAAAAATTATCGTTAAAAAAATGCCCAACAGAAACACAATTTTCTGTTAACACAAGTTATTAAAAACTGTTTAAATAACAAATAAAATCATATACTAGGAATGCTAAAAAAAAACAGACTTTCGTTAAATAGAGGGTAAAAATAGATATAAAAATAATTAAAAAAATATCAGAAGTATATTATTAAATCGTCAATTTTAAAAATGAGTTCTTTAAGCTTTCGTTTAAATGAAAAGTAATTTACTTAGATGAATAAAATCCTCAGTGAAATTTTTTAAAACTATTTTATTCCATAAAAAAATGTCCGCGAAAATCAATACAAAATTCAATAAAATTTGCTTAAAAAAATGGGCTGCTTAACAAAATTATCATTGCATAAAATGATTTATGTTTATCTTTTAAATACAAATTATGAAAACAAATCGGAGATGAATTGGTTTTAGATTAATTCGTAAAACAAAGAATATTAAAAACTTTAAGCTCATATATATTAAAAACTTTTATTTCAAAATAGTGGGTTGGCATAAATGTAACGGTCTTTAAAATATATTAGACGTGCTACATATTTCTGCTAACAATAAAAATGTTTAAATTTACCTTTATTTGTACTAATCCAAGCAATGTTTGCACAGTATATGTGACAATGAATATACGAGTAATATAATTTTACTAAAGTATGTTTATTTAAAACATTTCTTGCTTTCCACAATATTCTTATACTTTTTGAAATTTTACAAGATAAGTTTTTAATGTGATTTTTCCAAGTAAGATTTTCATCTCTACAAACACCTAAAAAGTAAATACATACATAAATACATTCCTCCACCTACCCTTATCATTTTGGGCAAGCGGCTCAAGATTTTCGGGTTTTTTAGTTATTAGGATTCAAACACGGCAGTTTTATGCAAACATTAGTTTTTGTAAGACCATACAAGAGATGGTGTCTATGAAATTCTTCAATGCCATATATACGATTTTTTTTTTTGATGCACTTTTGATTTGATGATTAAAAATAATGTTTATAAGTAATATAAGCTCTTAAGAATAGTAATAGTAATCCAATTATATGCTCACCCACGATGCTCTCTGATAAGACCGTTAGGACTTCTTGGGGCACCTAAACAAAATTAAAAAAAAAAAAAAATCATAACAAGTTTGAAGTCAGGTGTCAGAGATTGTTTAACATTGTGAATTTCTTCTTAGGCTTCTTAACGCTTCTTAAGTTAATACAGTAAAGCTGTTATGTGTTTCCTGCATATTTCCACAAACAACACAGTGTTGGTTTGGAAGTAACATATTCGCAATAATTTTCCACTTCCACATAGATGTTTTTAATTATTTATTAACTACTTATTATTTATCTGTTATATTATTATTTAAATGCTTAGTCGAAATCTACTCCAACTTCTTTAAATTAATGGTAATACAGTCTTGTTATTTTTTCTGCTGAAATTTCACACATTTAAACTTATGAGTTTTAATAATTTCTCATTTTACTAGAATTATATTCAAATACTGTTCTAAACATGTTCTAACATCAAAAATGCACACGAAACGCAGGGCCGTTCCGAAGGTGGGGGACCGTAGGGGGTGCCTAGCCCCCTACAAATTTTATTAGTCGGCAAATTGGGTACTAGAGTCGGCAAAATTGGATTTATAGTTGGCTGTCGGCAAATGTTGGAAAACCAGGACCTTTTTTTTTTATTATTTTTTGGCTTTTGTCGGCAAATAACAGATAAGGCGACCCACCCACCCTCTCCTTTATTTCTCTTCTGGAGGGCCCTGACGAAACGTTAAATTTGCATTTACACAAGTGTAAACTCGTATGTATTATTTTACAAACAAATTTTTTTCTTTAATTGTATTTGTGAACTTAAATAAATCTTTAACATAACAAAATTATTAGTAAATTAATTACCTATTTAGGTGTTTTTATAATTACAATACTTAAAGTTTAATAAAAATAAATGTAGGAAACATAAAAAACTATTCCTGGTGTCGAATTGCAGCAGCGTTATTTAAAAATGATAGAAATCTGGTGAAATTGAGTTATTTCTTTGATTGTTTAAATCGAAAAAAATTTATAGATATTTTTTTTTAATTATGAAAATTATTTTGTTATGATATTTTAAAATTATTATGAAAAGATCAAAATAATAGCAGTCTTTGTAGTATGACCTACAAAGACGAAAAACGCCGCCTTGTGAAGCTACAAAGACGAAAAACACCGCTTTGTGAAGCTACAAAGACGAAAAACGCCGCCTTGTAAAACTTCATAGAAATACTTATTTATTGTACGAGTTGTGGTTATTTCAAACAGGACCACCCAGTAAAGTAAAGGGTTCAGTGTAAAATATAAAAATCTATTGTTTTACGTAACCTTTTAAACTGAAACCGTGAAAAAATGAAAATTGCTAAAAAAGAATTAAAAAACAATTAAATCATCATTTAATACCAATTATATTTTAATTATTTAATTAGACTTATATCCACTATTTGATACGTTAAATGTATGCATGGATGGTTGCTTTTTGGATTTTTATTATAGTAGAAGCAAGAGATAGTTCTTATACACAATATTGAAAGCAAGAGATAGTTCTTATACGCAACACACTACAAAGATTTGTATATTTTAACTTCCGGCGCTCGTATGTTGAAGTTAACATTGCTGATTTTTCAAGCTATGTTCTTTTTTGTTTTGTTTCATTCTCTCTCTTTCTCTTTTGTTTAAATGTATGCGACAAAAATATCTAATTTTTTAGATTGCTGGATAAGTTGAAATGATTGTTATTATACGGCGGCGTCACTTTGTTACAATACTTACAAAGACTGCTTATAGAGTAGTAAAAGGAATTTAGTGCTAAATATTAAAATAATTTTAATATTTTTTAAACCATTTTAAAAATTATCTAAAATCTTTATTAAAATTTTAATAAATAAAAATCTAAATGAAAATATTTGTATGAATTCAAGTAAGTAATCGTCTTAAGTTGTAAATTGTGTGTGAATGAACATGAGCATATATAAAAAATATATAAACATTAAAAGTCAGCTTAACACTATTTGCAAATATTAGAATACCCTATACGAACGAACATAGTTAAGTTAATAAAAAATATTAGAACACCCTAGACAAACGAACATTGTTAAGTTAATGAAAAATAGTGACGAGGATGATTATATATGCGGAGAAAAATTTAGGAATACATTAATTTAGATTAAATTTCAACGTATTTTTTTATGTTTTTTAATTTTCGTATTAATTTAGTAATTTTTTAAATACTGCTAATTACATAAGCATCATTATTTAAGCCTATAACCAATAAATATATTTTACAGTATTAGACCGAAAATTGTAATAAAACGTCAAATAACAAATAATACTAAATATGTATTTTAATTTACAAATAAAACCCAGTCTCCGGTGATCCAGAATCCGGTGTGGTATACTAAATATTCACAATTAAGTCTGTTAAAAAATTGTTACTTAATATCGTTGGCTATTTCAAACTGGAATAAAATAGAATCCAATTTATATTTAACCTAGTTTAGCTTAAGTTTTTTTATATTCAATTTTGGCTTCGTTAAAGCACATTTATTTTGGGTAATCAATAGTTCACATAGTGTATACACTGATGTTTGGCTAATTTAATTAAAAAAATGAAAGTAAAATGTCAATAGAAAAAAGTTATTATATACATTACAGTTTCCAATCGAAGCTTCTTTTAATTATTTTTTGTTGCTAAAAAGCGTATTATCAATACAATTTAACCAGGTGCAAAGTCCAACTTTATATATTATATTTTCGCGATTTTTGCAATTAATTCTTTCTCATATCAGACTTAACGACGCCAGTTTTAAAGTTAAAGTTTGGATGGGAGGTAAATCTGTTTATTCCCCAATTTGTACCTTTTTTTTTTTATTTTAAATAAATACCTTATATACAAACACAGTGAACGCATTTTTATAAAGATAAAAATATTTTACCAAGACGATATGTTTTTCCGTTGCGTTTGATTGATTTGCTTTTCCATAAATAGTAAAACGCTTTGCTAAAACCTTACCACGAACTGCATGTAATTAATTATTTTTTTTATTTAAACTCTAAAAAAAGTAAATTTTCTGTAAAGATGCTATAAAAGATATTAAAATATTGTAAAGATAATTTTTAAATATTTAAATGAAACATATCAACTAGTTCAAAAGTGAACTCACTTATCGAAACTCGTGTTTGTTTACAAACTGTTTATTATTTCTTTATACCAAAAAAAGGGTTTTATAACACATTAATTAATGTGTTTCTATGCATAACGTTGGATATAAGATATATAATATATAAACTTTATTACTTTTGCAAATTAGTAGTATATTATGGTATTGGTATGTTAAACTACTTATCGAAAATCCTTAAAATCTGATCTATTGTTTTAAATGAAGCATTAACTACGGCTTTTGTTTTATACTAAAATTATCTCTAAGCTAACGGAGCACCCAAAAGCTTATTCATCTTAAATTAAAATTTATAAATATAAATAAAAAGCCAAGAATTCTGATAGAAGTGAAATATAACATCTATTTAAAAACTTTGTACACATTAACAAATATGCTTAATGGTTTTATAAAAGTTAACAACTCTAAGAATATGGATTTCAGTAATTTTTTTTTCGTAATTATGATAATGGACTTAAGTGGTTTATTTCTGGGACACCCTCTGGCAAAACCAAATTATGATGATAAATATGTCAACATTACATGGAGGAATTTGTATGCTAAAAATGTTCCTCAGTATCTGCACGACTTATACAAAAGTTTTTCTAGTTTGAATACATCGAAAAATCTTTTGTTTAATGGAAATGTAGCAAGAAGCTATAACGATTTAAGTGAGTATGATAACGATATATATATGTGTAGGTGTATGTGTGGATATGTGTGTGTGTGTTTGTGTGTGTATGTGCGTTTATGTATATATATATATATATATATATATATATATATATATATATATATATATATATATATATATATATATATATATATATATATATATATATATATATATATATATATATATATATGAGAAAAATGGGGAGAACGGATTAGCAAATGAAATAAATGTATAATAATACGTCTGGTTCAAACTTAATGATACAAAAAAATAGATCTATATCAAATTAAATTATGCACTTACACATAATCAATTTTTTGTTGTTGTTATATTTTTAGTATAAATTATGTAGAAGCAAACTTAAATGTAAGGAAACCCAGGAAAAAAAGTTCAATAGAATTTTCTATAAACTTTTGAAACATATGGCCTATGAATTCAATTGATTTTCTATAGAATTTTGGTTAACTTTTATAAAAATTTCTATAGAAATTTTTTTTCTTCTTTTTTTTTTATAGAAAAAAATTTCTATAGCAATTTCTATAGAAATTAATAAAAATTCTATAGAAATTCTATAAAGTTTCTATAGACCATATGTTTCAAAAGTTTATAGAAAATTCTATAGAACTTTTTTTCCTGGGGTACTACGTCTAAAATAAAATACAAATTTTTAATTGTGCCAAATCGTTTTTAATTTTTCCAAATTGTTTCTGATTGTTTTATGTACGAAATGGCCAAGTTATAATTGTTATTTTTTTGTACTTACAACAGTGTTACAGTCAATGTATTACAATCAATACATAACTTAAATAAACCAGTACAAATTCATATTAATCGTTTAAAATAAACCAGTATATATTTCTTTATTTTTATTTTGAAATGGCTAAAAAATCGTTCATGTCATAAAGTAATAAACAAACAAAAAAAGGTATTTTTTTATTTATTTGTATTGCTAATCGGCTTTTCTTAGTTATCAATAAACAATCAAGAGTCCACTCATTATTTAAGTATAAACTTCATGGATACTGTTTTAAATATGTAATGAAATAAATAAATAGATACAATCACATTATACAACAGGGTTATAAACATATCATGAGTTGCCTCATTTTATTGTTTTATTTGTCTTTTTATTTGTTTAGTTATTTCATTACACATATACAACAGTATCCATGAGGTTTTAATAAGCTTATCAGCTTATTTGCATTGCATAATTTTTTTATGTTTAATTTTTATTTTTATGTTATTCACGATAGACTATTATCAAAGTTGCTATTAATATTATAATTCCTAATGTTAAAATCCATCCTTTAACTGTTGGTCATCTAAGATTACCTCTAAAAAAAGGGAAAACGAGAAAATGTTAGGCGAAAAAAAAATTGTTGGGAATGCCTTAGAGTGAAAGCAACACTTTTTTTTAGAAAGAGTAAAAAACTACCAAACGATTAGATAAATAAAAAAGAAAAAAATTGAAAAAAAAATCAAGAAAAAAAAAACTTTTCATTAATTTCACCCGTTTAAAAAAAAAAACTTTTCCGCATTTAACCCGTTTAGACGGGTAAAATGCGGGAAAAAAGTGCAAAATTAGAGTAAAGAGCTTAGGAGCTTCATTAGATACACTGACTAATTTATTTAAAACTTGCATAGTAGTGCTGCTACAACGACTAATGGTTTATGTTACAGACCTCGAAATAGTTTCACTTTTACTCGTGTCCTATTTTTATAATTTTATTGTTGAAGATGCAAATCATCGTTTATGTAAAGAGTTTTACTTGTCTACATTAAGTATTAGCAGCAAATATTATACTATTGTGAGAATAAACATGAAACTGGTATTCCTACGCAAACGAGATGGGAGAACATTGTATAAAAAAAGTGTTTGAGCAGGTTAAATAAAATATTATTTTTCAAGCACTTTTCTTAACACGTTTGCGTTGACTTAAAAAGAAATGTGGGAAACTTCTTTTATAAAAGAAAACTCAGCTGTTATAACTTCAACTCATTACTGTTTGATTCATGTGTTCCACATAATAGAAACAGACAATTGTCAGCAGCACTGACATATGACTGTTCACGTTCGGTGTGAGTTTATTTACAATCATCGAAATGTTAAAATCATTAAGCTAAAAAACTGTAAGCTAGACTATAGTTTTATTCAGGAATCTTATAAATAGACAGATTAAAAAACATTACATTCAGTAGAAATATTCAAATTTTTTGGGGTAACAATTTCGTATCTAACAATAGGAAAAAAACAATTGTAAAGAAATGAAAGTAAATAAAAGTTTTTATGTATCCATACATGCCAGCTGTAGATTTTTTAAATACTTTATACAAATGGGGTTGAAGTACCAAAATTAAGGGGTCCTTTTGAAAATTTATGAAGGTTTTTTGTGTGTGTATATGTGTGTGTTTGTGTGTGTGTGTGTGTGTGTGTGTGTGTGTGTGTGTGTGTGTGTGTGTGTGTGTGTGGTATTACCACACCATAATAACAATAACTCAAAAAATTACAATTACACTACTTGTGTATACAGTTTGTGGCTAGTGGGCCACCGACCAACTAGCCACACACTGTATACACAAATAGTGTAACTGTAATTGTTTGAGTTATTGTTATTATTAGTTTTTTTTGTACCAGACTGTTTGTTTTGTAAACAGATTTTAGAATTTTAGAAAATTTATTTTAAATGTATTATATGAAAATAAAACTTCATTAATAAAAGAAAACAAATACTTAAAAAATATTTATTTCTGAAGTGATAATTTTTTTTAACTATTTATAGTGGTCTGTTCGTTTAAAACCTAGAGATCTATAAACATGTTTTTTATTGTTAAGCGAAGCCTTAAAATAAATTTGTTTTATTATTTAGGGTTAAAATAAATATACTTCATATCATGTTATTTAGAATTTTAATTTTAGGTGCTTTACATAGTAGAATTCATTTTTTCGACGTATCAGATATCGCAAACTCACAAGAAGTTCTAAAAAGAGCAGAACTGAGGTTGTTTAAAGGCCACAGCGCAAGGTATCGTTTTTTAACAACTATTTTACAAATAAAAGTTACAAACACATTGAGTAACAAAACAGTGAGCTCAAAGATAATAAGTTCAACAAGTTATGGTTGGCAAGTTTTTCCTATCACAGAAGTTGTACAAGATTGGATTGACAGTCGAGCTAAAAATAACGGTTTATATATAACAATTAGAAAACTTTATGGAGCCAATATGCTTTTTAATTTTAAAACTAAATATGTTCGGCATAAGCCTTTTTTAATTACATTTACAAAAGAAAAAAAGGAATTATCATTAATTTCACTTTTAAAAAAAAATGAAAAACGTTTTATGCCGACCGTAGAAAATGATTTAGCAAAAAGAAAACGCAGAGTAGTTGCTGATAATGCAAAGGTTTGTGGAGTTGAGCCGTTAAATGTACCTTTAGAATTAATTGATTGGCAGAAATTATTTATTTATCCTACTCATTTCATTATTAATCATTGTAAAGGATTTTGTTATCATAAAAATGACAAAGATAACGATGAACAAACAAGCCATTCAATTTTGCAAGCTTTATATGCCGATGTGCTTCAAAATGATATTGTCAAATATCCATGTTGCGCTCCTACAAAGTTTTTGCCAGGAACAGCTTTAATAATAGATCGCTCATCGGTCAATGAAGTAATTAAACTTGTACAATTAGAAAATTTGACGGTAACCGAATGCAAATGTTTGTAAATAAAATTAACCCTGATGCAAGATATTAGTATTTTTAAATTTTTTTTTTAACTTGTCATTTATTATCAATGTGTATATATATATATATATATTATAAACATCGTGTAAATATTTTTCTTTTTATTAATTTTATTATTGTTATTAGTAGGACTATTGTTATTACCATTATTGTTATTATTATAATTATTATTTATGATATATAAGAGTAATAAAGTTTAACATTGCTTAATTGAACATTTTGTAAAAGATCTTTTTCATTGTATTAAATGCATAGCATGCTAATAAAATCATGTACAAAATATGCTTTAAAGGAATTTAATTTAAAAACATAAAAAATAACTAAAAGTAAATTGCTACTTTTAATGGTAATTAGATTGCTAACTCTAATATATTTATATGAACTAATAGAAATTGTCCAATATATTCATATGAATTTAGAAAAAGTTTTTTTTTATCTCTTGCATTTAACAATTTACTTGAATTATATATATTTTAAATGTTTTTATTCAAAAAGAATATTGTAATAAAGGTTTTGCTAATTTATAAATAAAAAAGTTATAGAGCTACTTAACCATTTAGTTACCAGTACCTTTTACCATTTACTTTACCAGTAAAAAAAATAGAATTGAATGAAAATTTGAAATGTACAAAATTTTTACTTAACTCAGTTAAAGATCTAAACTATCATAAAAAATTTACAAAAATATTTGTCATAGTGATAAGACAAATTTTTTTAACTTTTGCCCTGGTCATGTAACTGTTATTCGTATTTTTACACCATTCCAGTATTTTACTGTGATGCAAGTTTAACCAGATCTTGCAGTGTTGCTGTGCTGTAGATCCTTGAAAGAGATCGTGACATCAACATTAAAATTCTTAAAATAGATTGTGAGATCATCATGACATCACCACTCTCTTTTGTTTAGAGGTTGAGAAGTAGAAGATCTTTTGTGCCAAAATAATTTTTTTGTATAACTTTATTAAAGTTGTTATAGTTTTAGAATTTATGAAAACATATAAACTAATATGCTCAACTTCAATATTTTCAAATGAAAAATATATTTAAAAAGTTCATTAGAAGTTAATTGTTGCTCTAACAAATAAAAAGTTTAAAAAAATTAGTATAATATTTAAAATATTTTTCAATAGGAAAAGATACCCATGCTACACCGTGTAAAGATCAAAATCAGCCTTGTTTGAACGGACCATAATAATCTTTTTATGAAAGCGTTACATAATGTACATTTAGGAGTTTTTTAAAATCATTTAGTTTTTTGAAAGCAAAATATGTTGGATACTTTTTGCATTGACTTTTTTAAGTTTCTTCAACAATTAAAATACAAAGTAAGAAAAGCTTACTTACTTTGTACAATTATAAATAATAATTTCAATAAATAACCCAGTTTCGCATAAAAGTTAGACTTTTGTTTAACTTTACGTTAGTTTTTTGTTAATTTTTTGATTTTTTAGCAAATTCATTGCTTTAATAAGTTTTGTCAAGCAACAAGTTATCGCTGTTTCATGTTCCTGATCCTCTATATTTTGGGAAATTAACAAGTTCCATTTTTTGATAAATATCATTTATATTGAATAGTTGTTACTTTTTTTTATTTATTTATTTATTTCGTCATATATAAGCATTTTACAATGTTCTCGTTTTCAAGTTTAATAAAATAAATCAAAATATAAAGAATGACAGAAGCAAGTAGAAGACATAAGTCTTGCCGTCTAGCCCATACAATTTACGCGATATATTTTTTACAAAGTATCCATAATATATAAAGTATAATAATTTATATTCACTATATAAAGCAAGTTAAAATAACAATAATAAAATAAAATTTGCTAAACTAAATAAATAAAGTAAAGAAATTTAAAAGATTGGCTTTACAAGTTTTTTCAACAAAAAAATAAATAATCATTTTATATAGCAAGTTTAAAATAGCTATGCTATAATAAGACTTCTAAAGTAAAATATAGAAATAAAATATATATAATATTTATTTACATTTTTTTTTTGTGTCATTATCTCATTATATACAAATACTCATTATATAAAGCAAATAAATATAAACTTTATTGTAATAAGATAAAAAATACTTCAAAAGTAAAGTAAAAAGCAAAAAAAAAAAAAAAAAAAAAAAACAGCAAGAAAAACAAATAAGTAACGTAAAAAAAAATTAAATTTTAAAACTAAAAATATAAAACTGTTTTGCTCGAGAAACAGAATTTGCTCGACTGTTAAGTCGAGCAAATTCTGTTTAACTACATTTTTAAAAGATTATATTAAGATTATACTTTTCATTTTGTCGTCAAGAATTCTGTTTTATAGACGAGGTCCTCTATATGAAATTGAGTAATCTGTTTTTTTAATGTTGACTTAAGTAAGTTAAAATTGTGAATAGTGCACCTCGTTACGTATTTATAAGAAATAATTGAAAAATAATTGTTAAAGAATTTAGGAAGCATGTCGTTTTGATATTTAAACATAAATAATAGGTTTTGGTACAAATTTAACTCTTAGACGTTTAAAGCTTTGATTTCGCGGAGTAACGGTTTGGCGTGGGCACATTTATGCATATTACATATAACTCTACTGGCTTGTTTTTGTTTTATATATATTTTCTTTAATGCTGATGAACAAGTACTGGCCCAAGCAATGTTACAGTAGCTAATGTAACTATGAATAAAAGAGTAGTATATATCTTTTAAGCATTTTTTACTTAGTAGGTGTTTTGTTTTATACACAATGCCTATTGTTTTAAAAATTTTGTTTTCAACGAGCGTAATATGACTTTTCCAATTAAGATGTTCATCAAATATCACTCCCAGGATTTTGATTGACACGACTCTTTTTACAATAATTCTGTTTATGACTAACTGAGGAAGTTGAAGAGACAAACTATCTGACTTAGATGGCTTATGAAATAAAACATATTTAGTTTTACTAATATTTAAAGAGAGTTTGTTTGCTTTTAACCAATCCTCCAGGTTTGTCAGCTCACGATTTACTATGGTAAAAATTGTTTTAATATTGAAGTCGGAGTAAAAAATAGTAGTATCATCTGCAAAAAGGATAAAGTTAAGGATATCTGAGGAACGGTATATGTCATTCACATAGATTAGAAACAGTAGGGGTCCAAGAATAGAACCTTGAGGAACTCCACAACTAACTGTTTTTAGCTTTGAACAAGATGTGGTATAAGATACTCCTTGTTTTCTATTTTACTTATCGAGAGTTTTTCCTGCACTTTCTTTTGCATGTTAATAACTGATTGGTGTCTCGTAGGAAATTTGAAAATTGAAAATCTTAATAATACATACGAGAATGAAAGCTTCAATGTGACGAGAATGAAAGCTTCAATGTGACGAGAATAAAAGCTTCAATATGACGAGAATGAAAGCTTTAAAGGGAAGAGAATGAAAGCTTCAATGTGACAAGAATGAAAGCTTCAATGTGACGAAAATAAAAGCTTTAATATGACGAGAATGAAAGCTTCTATATGACGAGAATAAAAGTTTCAATGTGACGAAAATGAAAGCTTCAATATGACGAGAATAAAAGTTTCAATATGAAGAGAATGAAAGCTTCAATATGAAGAGAATGAAAGCTTCAATATAAGGAGAATGAAAGTTTCAATGTGACGAGAATGAAAGCTTTAATGTGGCTTTAAACTCGCCATTTGAATAGAGACAATGTTTATAGAAAGATTATTTAATTGTCATTTTCAAATTTGTCATTAAATATTTTTAATCAGTGTTTATAGAAAATAACGACGACATTTTAACTAATGACGTATAAATATAACTAGATGCGTGACTCGCAGCTTTTTGGGTATAACTAAGTGAAGCCATCGTCCTCCATTTTGCTGTACGGCAAAAACATGAGACGCGACTATATATATATATATAATATATATATATATATATATATATATATATATATATATATATATATATATATATATATATATATATATATATATATATATATATATATATATATATATATATATATATATATATATATATATATATATATATATATATATATATATATATATATATATATATATATATATATATATATATATATATATATATATATATATATATATATATATATATATCTATATATATATATATATATATATATATAATATATATATATATATATATATATATATATATATATATATATATATATATATATATATATATATATATATATATACATACATATATATTTCGGATTTTTGTATAATTATACTTTATTTGAGACCTATGACTAATATTTGAAATATTAATGATATTTGGGATCCGTTAAATTTTTAAGGTTCTCGAGGCACCTATAATGATAAATATAGCAAATTTCAATTCATGAAAGTTTACAAAATTAAAATCATATTTTAACAGTAGAAAACCTAAAATAAAACAGTAGATTGTATAGTAATAAAATGTACATTTAAAAATATTCAATTAAAAGTAGGCATGAATCAAAACCTGTAAATTTTCAAAGCCTTTTAACCAAAAGGCTCTCTTTTAACCAAGTCGAAGACTTGTTTTTATTCCTTAAATAGGGTCGACGTAATACTTTTTTGAAGTTTTGAGTCTAATGGTTAAAAATACAGCAGTAATTTTTCAAAAAAAAAGTAGTTGCTCTTAAAAGTTTAACTGTTAAAACCTCTTTGAAAACTAACACAAGATTTTTGCCGTACTACCATCTTGCGGTACGGCAAAAATCTCAAATTCTGGCTTTACTTTTTAACTCAAGTCACGCATCTAGTTATATTTATACGTCATTGGTTTTAACAAACTTTGAAAAAATTGTTTAAATTCACTACAGTTTAATAGTATTACCTCAAATGAAGTTGTTAATATGATAAATGCTTTAAACCCAAGAAAATTCATCCTTTTGTATGAAAAGAATGTTTAAATTTTCTAATCCGTTAACTTTATTATTTAACAATTCAATTTACAGTCTAGTACCTATTTCATAAGATAAAACGTAAAACCATATTAAGGATCGTTTATAAATTACCTCAAGCAGCTTTGACCATTTTTCGACCCCCAACATAATGTTTTTGTAAAAAGTTTCATAAAACT